TCTAACTAGTTCCATTCACTCATTTGGAGGCAATAACAGCAGGCTACAGGATTTAAAAGCCTAGCCCTGGGTGGCAAAAGTTAAGTTAAAACACCCACAGTTTAACCAAGAGAGTCATAAAACCGTTTATATTCATAGGCTATAAATTTCGTCCCTCAAGAGAATTACTGAGGACCTAGGCTGCTTTACAGTTCCCTGTTCAACTTGGGTTTTTCTTCTTTGTATTAGAGGCAGACACACAGGTGATTAGCATGCCCTAGTGAAGGATGGAATTGCAGAAGTGAGGTCAAAGCAGGAAGCCACTACAGTGGTTGATTAGTGTAGTGAATCAGCACATGCTCCCTCAAAGAAAACCTGAGATGTGGAGTGAGATCTGCCGATACACACTTGCAGGGAGCATGACAACTGCGACAACATGCTTCCTGGAGAATATTGATTTGACTTTCACAAGACATCAGCTCCTGATTAGATACTCAGCTGTGTTAAACCGCAGACATGAAGGGGGCATGGGAGTGACTGAAAGAAACACGCCTTACAGAAATGACCTGCTCAATGAGATGGAACTCGAGCCTTTTGTAAGGTGATCACATTCGACTCACATTCGACTTGGAGAATGCCTCTACCCATCACAGATGGTTTGGTAAGATGATAAATTAATACTGTTATCAATGGGAACATGGCTTGAACGGTTAAATGGCAACTCCTTCAATGCTCACTCTAAAAAAAAAGAACAGCCCCTAGTCCCCCAAAGTCCATAAAGAAGATGAATGGAAAACAAAACCTTCTATCTTTTGACAGATTCCAGGACGAGTATCATTCACAAACCATTCTGCAGAAAAATAGGGGAAATTCATCTCATCTGACTTTGTATGGGACAACAGCCTATGCCAACAATGGACCCTTCCCCATGCTGTGAAATTGCCCTGAATAGCTGGTGAGTGCAGCCTCCTGTTCACTGGCTGAGTTTGTTATATCCCTTTTGTATGTACTAGCCCTGCCAACCCCCGTTTGGTTATAAACTAAGGTGCTGAGGACAGGGGAAGGGGAGGGGAGAAAACAAATGTGTTTCTATGAAACTCTCAAATGGGGAACTGCATAATCATAATTGCAATCTAGTGGTCTTTATCCACAGTTAACGGTCTGAGATGTTTTGGATCCATTTTTACCACTTCTCTAAATGGATAAGGATCCTGGCTCCAACTAGGCTGCAGCCACATGGCCCCAGCAATTTATGGGTGGGCTTACCCCCTGCAGGGGCCTCCTTGTCCTTGGGAACTCAGGAGGTAACAAGAGGCCTCAATGGCCATTCCCAAGCACTCCCAGGTCAACTTTCTAATCAAGTAACTAGTACTGGTTTCCTTGTTTTTTCCCTTCTAACACCCCTAAAACAAAACGGAAGTCCTCAAGTGGATTTAGAAGAGGTCATTTGGCTCTCTGGGAGTAACTCTCATATTTGAGGACGTGTTTTATCCATCTCGGGCAAAGCTTTAAGAAGCAAACGCCCTTTCCCATCAGAGCAGTGATCTGAGACCATAAGGTGCTCCCTTCAGAAACCTATCCAGCCCACCTCCCCATCCCCATACGTTCTCCTCTCTGGTATATCTCATATGAAAGAATCACAGATTTAGTGCTGGAAGGAACCTTAGAGGCCACTGAGTTTAATCCCCTCATTTTACAAAAAGGAAACTGAATCCCAGAAAGGCTAGTGACTTGCTCTGGGTCACACACTTAGCAAATATTCAAGGAGTATTTGTGCCCAGATCTTCCTTCCTGACTCCAAAGTCCAATGCCCTATCTACTAGATCACACTGCCTCTCATAAAAATTCACGGCCTGTATATGTAACTTGACTTCTGGATTTAGACCCAAAAACTTCCATGGAAAGATGTGATATCTGCCCTTCCTGAGACAGGTATTGCCTTGACCCCACCCCTCACCCCAACCTGAATATCTGAAGTTTATGGAATTTTAAGAGATCTCAATTTCTATTTTTGGCACAAATGTGTGAAGGGGAAGGAAGATGGGGTGAGAAAGAGGGCAGGAAGAAATTTATTTTTGCCTGCAAAAAAGCAACAAATTAGAAAGATGAATTATAGTCTCAAGAGGCTGTTCTTACCATTTCTATCACCCACCCTATTTTCATCTAGGTAGAGCACTGAGGGCTATGATACTCCCCTTCCCTGACAGCCCTCCAGAAAAGGGAGTGAAGGTGCAGGCTGCCAGCAGCTGGCTGAGGTCAGAAAAGGGCTTTTCAACAACTTCTTCAGCTGACACACATTAATTCTAATAGGTTACTTTATAAATCACTGAAAAGTCCTTGCATTGCCGACTGATGGGAAATTTTTTTTGGAGGGAGGGCTTTTGAGGATTTGCTAATTTTGTGTAGTGCCACATACACACACAAGGAGAAAACCAAGGAATTACCTGCAGTATAGAATAACTTGTTCTAGGATCACTCCCTTCCTAACTGATCCCTCAGGAAAGTCTAATTATTTCAATTCTCCCTTTCAACATTTAGGGTATTCATAACAAGAACCAAATTAGTTGATGTTGTTAGCTAAAGTGGTTCAGGGAATTGAGAGGAAGCAGAACTGATCATACAGGGTGCAACAGGCATGACTTGGTGTGAAGGAAGAAGAGACACCAAAAATCCAAGACTCATAATTTAAGGTATGTCAGGAAAGGGTGAGGGATCAAAGAAACCCATTTTGGGAACTACATTGAACCAAACAGGATCTTAGGCAATTAAGATCCTGGCTCCCCTTTTTCATATCTCCCCTCCCTTCCCTCCCAGAAATCCTTGAAGTGCCTTGGAAGTCTATCCAGAACTTTGGGGAACTAAAGTGTAGTTCCATGGCAATCCAATAAAGAAAACTGAAGAATAAAATGGGATCCTGAGAAATAACAAGAAATGTGTTTCCCAAGCCCATCAGAATTGCTGACCTCCCCTCTTCATAAAGGATGGGCTAAGATGACCCTTTGTGCCTGTACAGAAAGCTCAGGAAGTAAAGTTATCATTGCAACAGTTTTGCCAGTGTGAACTAAGAGAAACTAGGGTTTAACCAGCAAAGAACATGCTGTCCTCAGCATCATCAGTCCGTGTGAAGGAAAAAGTGGGGAAGCTAGAGGAAACAGGGTGGAGACTGGCTACTCTGGCCAGGTGGGAGTTTGTGTGTGAGCAGGCTACACATAAGAGTGAGCCCTTGGTCTGGTTTACATGTCAAGTCTGGACTAGGTGCTCCTCGGCAAGGGGAAGCCCATCCTTTATGCATGACACCATTTTGGTCCACAAGGAAATTCCTGGTTGGAAATTCCACATGAAAGAACTGAAAGACTCTAGGTCTCTACGTGCCTTAAATAAGGGGATCAAGTCTAGAAATAGCCTTGGCTCAGAAACAGTGGAGATTATTCTGCACCAATAGGAAAGTCACAGGCTAGAATTCCTTCAATGACCAAGACCCAGACACTTCTCCACGCCAACCATGGATGTGACTGAAGTAAGCACATGGAGATGGTTCTAACATGAATGTGGGTTCTCCGTGTGACTATATGAAATGGTTCATCAGCAAGTGCATTGAGATGAGAGTCAGGAGAGTTAGGTTCTAGTTCTGACTGCCACTTGTTGTATAACCTTGGGCAATTACTGGGGTTAGACTAAATATTCTCCTAAGGTCTATTACACCTCTAACATTCCATGAGAGGCAGGAGGTGTCATGGGAGCTGGGAGTCAGAGGACCTGGATTCAAATTCCGGCTCTATTCATCAGCATGAACAAGTTACTTACTCTCTCTGGGCCTCAGTTTCCTTGTCTGTAAAATGACAGAGTTTACCAGATAATTTCTGATGTATCTTCTAAGTCTAAATGGATGATATTATATATTACCCTAAGATTCCATAAAGTCTGTGGCTATTTTCTCCCCAGGCCACAGCCTGGCTCCCCAAGTAGCATCCTCTTGTGACGTCCCTCCCACTGCCCGTACTTAGAGCCAGAAGCCTTGCTCTGATTCCTGCTGTTTCTCTGCATGGATCTTCATTAAATAAATAAGTGAACAAATAAACAAATAAGCCTTCTTGGGGACACTTCAGTTCCTTCACTAAGAGGCAGGAGAATCTGGCTTGTGGATTTCTCCAAATGTTAATAGAAAAGGAAAGCTCCCTGCACCTCATGTGCTAGTTTCATCAAATCCTCTGAGTCATTCCTTCTTGCTTCATTTTCATTGAAGGGAGAAAAAATAAACATCAGAAAGTTAATCCATTCGTGCTTGCTTCACTGAACAAAAATAGATTCTCTCGTCTCCTTTTAATTTTTTGTCCCTAGAAGCAAAGATATTTGCAGATGGATTACATGTTCTTTCTATGACCCTGCCCCCTAAACCTGGAGATCGCTATACAGTGTTCACATGCAGGGACCTCTGAAGTATGTCTGCGTGTATTTGGCTTTGTCCCTGACACTAAGCCTGATGAATATGACCCCTTTCTCCTGGTATGTGGCACACCTGTGCAAGGGAGAGGAAAGAAGAGTGAGGTTTTAGATTGGGATCTGAAAGCTATGCACCTACAAAAATGTATTAAACCTTTCTTTCTTCTCCTCTGAGACTTTCTCCACTCCCCTTCTTTGTTTCTGCTTAACTTGGCCACAGTGCCCAAAATAATCAGTGTTAAGTCCAAAAACAAGTAAGAGAACGGGAAAGAGGGAGAGAAGGCTGGAGGGAGTGAGGAGGGGGAGGATGAGGGAGAGGTCGAGAGGGAAAAACAGAGGAGGAGGGAGAGAGGGAAGAGGGAGAAATGGAAGGAGGGGGAGAGAGATTGAAGGACAGGAGGAGGAGGGGGGAGAACAGGGGAGATAGGAAAGAGAGAGAGAGAGATGAAACAGATGAAGGAAAAAGGACTGTAGAAAGAGGACTGTAGAGCTCAATGATTACTCAGATTTTAGCAGTCCTATTGGGGAGTGGAGAAGACGTCACTGAAGGCGTACAGAGGTTCACCCTCTGTCCCACTCACCCTTGCAGGCCTTTCTGTGAGTGATTGGTTTGTTCATATCTCGGTAGTAGCCTTCTTTGCAGTAATGACAGTGGCGCCCAGCAGTGTTGTGCCGACAGTTGAGGCAGACACCCCCACTCTTGCGCCCGGACAGCTTATAGAGCTCCATGTTGAAGCGGCAGCGGCGGGCGTGCAGGTTGCAGTTACAGGCTGTAGAAGAAGCAGAGGAAGAAAGTGTCGGTTTGGAAGGCAGCAGGGGAACTCAGGGGCTGGAATGGACCCCTTCCATTTCTTTTCTTTCCTTAGTCTCTACTACCTGATCAGACCTTCTACTGTGAGGAAATATTCATTCTTATATAGGCCACATCAGTTAATATTAGTTGAGTCTCTCCTGCATGCAGCGGGCCTTGGCCAGGTGTTGGAGATAAAACAAATGACAGTCAAATTCCCTAGAGAAGTTTATGGCATGGGTGCCACTGAACTGGAACTGCTCAGGACTTTCTTGTAGGTACTGGGCAAAAGACTACAGGGAGAAACAGCCCCCCCCCCACCTCCAGCCCATTTTACTGTATATCTGTGAACTGAGAGGAGTAACAAAGATATTAATATATTACTACTGGTAGATTTGAACACTGCATTGGTCCTAGTACCCACAAAATGTGAAATGAAAATAACCAGAGGAAGGTCTCTATCACATCTGATAACTCTTGTGCAGAGAGTTTTATGGAACGGTATGGACAAGAATCATATAGCGTGAGAATGTTTATGATCCAAATCCAGAATGATGACATCAAAAATCCATCAAAGAAGTGGTGATGATGATGATGATGATGAGATAGCAGCTCACATTTATATAGCACTTTAGGGTTCATAAAATACTTTCCTCCAATAACACTGTGAGGCAGGAAGCATATAGGCATATATATGGTATAGAATTTTGTATGTATATATATATACACACACACATCCATCCATATGTATGTATATACTCAGATAGTACATGTGCACATATATATCATATATATATGTATATATATATATATGTTTCAGACCTATTATTTCACTGGTATAAGGAGGTCCCTAGCGAGGAAACTCCCTCTGCCAATGCTGATGGATACCTCCCCTTCAGCTTTTGGCTTTAGTCAGTTGCCTAGTGGCACAGAGAGATTAATTGGTTTGTCCAAAATCACAGAGCCAGTATATGTCAGAAGTGGCATCTGAATCTAGGTCCCATTGACTCAGAACCAAGCATAACCTCTCACTGTGAGTAGTATTATTCCCATTTTAGAGATGGGAAAACGAAGGCTCCAAAAATTTAAGTGACTTGTCCATGGTCACAAAACTGATTCCAGGAGTTCTCTTTCCACTATGCCACGCTGCCTGGACCTGATACATAAGGGGGAAGGGGGAGGGAACAAGCTTCAAGTGCTTACAAACAGCTTTACAAATATTATCTCACTGACACATACTCTGTCCCTTCCCTGGAGGAGTTTTAATAGGAAAGATGAGACATGTACACAACCAAGTATATGATACAAAGAAATGTGATGAATGTTGTACGGGTAGTAGCTTTTAAGTAGCACTTAGAAACAAGGGTTTTCCACTTACTACAGTTTTTCATGTAAAGGCCATTGGGTGTGAAGTAGAAAGGATTCTTATTCATTACAGGTTGGGCTAAATGGCCTCTGAGCTCCCATTCAACTCTGAGATTCTGTGAAGGAAGCAAGTCCCCTGGCCCCTGACCCCTCTCCTGAGAGCCCAACCTCATACTTCCCCAGCCCCAAAGCTAGAAGAGGCTGGTATTTCTTTGCCATATGTACCTCAGATCAACAAAGAGGTCTTTTAAAACAACTGGTCACACAAAAGACAGCTAAGGAACAGAACATCAAAGGTCAGCTCCTTCTCTCCCCCTCCTTCTCCCCTCTCTTCTCTCTTCAGAGCTATCAAGGACACCTCAAGTGGCAATTGCAAGAACCTGGTATATGGTAAAGTATTTTATGCTTGTTTTCTTTGCTCTTTATTTTATTTTCTCTACACAAATGGAAAATATGCCCTGGGTAAGGCAAGCCACATCTGGACCTTTCTGCTCCACATGGAGGTGACACTCAACTCCCTGCCTGTCACCAGCCTCCTCCTCCAGAGAGACACCTTAATCCCTGATTCCTTCCTGTTTATCTCCTATTTCACTTGGAGAGAAAAATATTTGGTATTTGTTTCATTATCAAATTTCAAACTGAGCGGAAAAGGCAGCTTTATTATGGCCAGGAGGTCAGGGCTCTAATCTTGCCAACAACCTAACACCCTGGGCAAGGCCAAACAAAACGGCTAAAGATAACTGGAAGAGAACCAAAGAATCAGAATCACAACATGTTATAGCTGGAAGAGGACTTAAAGGTCATCAAGTCTACCCCCCTCATTTTACAGATGAGAAAACTGAGGCCCAGTTGTGACTTGAGCAAAGTCACATGTCTAGTTAATTATCAGAGTAGGAATTTGAACTCTAGTCATAGTTCTAAATCCCGTGTTCTTTTTGATACACCATGTCTTCATTCGAGATTTAAATTTGAAGGGCCAGAGAAATCATCTAGTTTAATACTCCCTCATTTCACAAACGTGGAAACTGTTGTATGCAAGGGATCTACATACATATTAGTCAAAACCTGCACGTGGACAGAAAGGTAGGTCCACAATTGAACAGGTGGAGAAGGTACTCTAAATGGCACTTGGAAAATGTTTGCAGTGTTTTTAACGACTCTAAGCTTCTCCCTGGGAAAAAAAAAAGGCTCATCTTAAAAAAAAAATCCCGTGTTTTTAAAGTCAATATCCTCTTAATGACACTGAATGTCTATCAGTCATGGAATACCCAGTCTCTGAAAAAGTAAGTTTGTGGGTCACTCAAAGGAAATGAATAGATAATGAAGGGAACTGATAGTATGTGAATATTCTGTAATATGTACAATAAAGAGATGCACTCTAGAAATGATGAAAGAGATATAAGAGAGATGTATAAGCAGACAAAGATGTGGATCACTCATGTGGCCAAAGTGAGAGGTAATTCATCGAAGGAAAAATACAAATACATGCAAAGTAGTTACATATGCAGTAGTTTAAGAGAGAAGGTATCCACAGGTAAGGAGTAGTGATCAGGAAGGGCTTCTGTAGTGCTTGTGTGTTCTGTGAGCAGAAGGTAAGGTGGGAATACATTCCAGGCATGGGGAAAGTCAAGTACAAAGACATAGAGAGAGGAGATGGAGTGTTATGTGAAGAACAGAAAGAGGGCCAGTTTGTCTAGATTGCAGAAAACAGGAGAGAGAGTAATACACAGTGATAGAGAAAAGAGAGGACAGGAAGGATTATGAAAGGCTTTGAAAGCTACATTGGGAAATTTATATTTTATTCTAGAGGCAATAAGTTGATTAAGTAGGGAAGGGGTATGATCAGATCTGCCTTTAAGGAAAGTCACTTTAGTAGCTGCATGGAAGATGAGTTGAAGATGAGACTCCAGACAGAGATCAATTAGGAGGCCATGGCAACAATCTAGAGAAAAGGTGATAAGGGCCTCAATTAAAGTAGCAGTTGTTTAAGCCTAGAGAAAGGGGTCAGATGTGAGAGATGTTGTAGAGATATAAATGACAAGATTTTACACTTGATTGGATATGTCAACATAATATGTAGGACAAAGGAGAGTGAAGAGTCTAGGACAATGATTAGGTTAAAGATCTGGGAGAAGGGTGGTGCCTTCCAAGGAAAAGAGAAGTTTGGAAGAAGGGTGTTGGGTTTTATTTTTTTTTCTTGAGGAAAAGACAGTGTGTTTTATTTTGGATATGTTGAGTTTTCAGCTATCTCCAGAACATCCAGTTTAAAATATCCTATAGGCAACTAACCGATGATATAGGGTTGAAGCTGGGAGGAGAAACTGGAGAAATAGGCATAGAACAGAGATGATAATTAAACTCATGGGAGCTGACAAGGTCACAAAAAGAGAGTTTAGAGAGAAAAGGGGGGGGGGCCTGGACTAAGCTTTGTGAAATACTGACAGTTATGGAGCATATGGATGGTAAACCAGCAAAGGAGATTGAGAAGGGGTGGCTATATAAAAAGGAGGAAAATAGGAAAGGGTAATATTACAAAAGCTACAGGAGGACGGAGTAGTCAACAGTCTCAAAGGAAGCAGATAAATTGAAAAGGATGAGGACTAAAAAAAAGAACATCAGATTTGGCAATTAAGAGATAATTGGTCACTTTGGAGAAAACAGATGAGGTCACAAGGCAGATTAAAAAGAGTTGAAGAATGAATGAAAAGAGGAAGTAGAAGTAAATTATTGATAGCCCTTTCTAGGAGTTTGGTTGAGAAAGGGAGGGGAGACACACACACATACATACACATATACATACACATATAAATACATACATATATGCACATATATATGGATAATTTGAGGTCATGGTAGGGTTTAATAAAAAAAATTTTATTTTTGAGTGGTAAAGACTTGGGCATGTTTGAAGGCAGTAGGAAAGGAACCAATTGATAAGAAAGGTTAAAGTTCAGAAAGAGAGAGAAGGATGACTGAAGTTGAAATCTAGAAAAGGGGGAGGAAAGAGGATCAAAAGTACATGTGACAAAAAATGGCCACCTCATTGTCAGGGGGAGAGCAGGGGACGAAATGTCAGAGGATTTTGAACGATGAGGAGAAAAGAAGGAAATCATGTCAGAGAGCCTCAGTTTCCTCAGAAAAGTAAGAAGTAAGGTTTCTAGCTAAGAGACAGAGGAAGGAGAAAGGGGAGGTTTAGGAGACTTGAGGAGAATGAGAGGGTTTGGAAAAGCTTTTGTGTGATGTGAGATAGGGAATGAATTAGAAGAAATAAAAGATTGCCTCATTGCACTGAGGGCCCAGCTGAATTTGGAAAACATGAATTTGTAATGTACCCAATCAGCCCAATTATGCACTTCCTCCAGCCCCATTCAGCAAAACATGTGAGTAGGAGTGGAGGAGGCAAATGTTGGGAGTGATGCAGGGTTGAGGTTTGGCAAGAGATGAGGAGTGACTGACCAAGTGAGCAAAGGAATCAAGTGCAGAGAACTGTACATCTGAATTGGATAACTATAGGACTAAGACTGGAGAGGAAAGAAATTGAAATCGGAGAAGGGGTAATAGGACTGGGGCTTGGGGAGGGGGTAGGAGGATGAAGAATGGATTTAAAAAGGGTAA